CCCCACACCTCACACCCCCACACCTCACACCCTCACACCCTCAAACCCCATTACCCTAACACCCCCACATCCCTACACCTCACACCCCATCACCCTCACACCCCCACATCCCTACACCTCACACCCCCCCCCACACCAGCACCGACACGAGGTGATTTGTTGGGTGTAAGTTAGATGTATGAATCCTCACCCCACCCCCATATCCGACCCACACACATCCTCTACCCCCAACCCTACCCCAAACTTCACATCCCCCACCCTATCCCTCACCTCTATCCCTTTATCTCCCAACCCAAACCCCACACCCCTTTCTCCCAACCAACGAACCAACCAACGATGTCTTCCCCCAGTAGCACGGAATCCTGCAAGGCCAAGTTTGAGTCCACAGACCACGAAGGTACCGTCGTCATGGTAACCAGAAGCTTCAACTTGTCAAGGTCAAGGTCAAAGTCAGGGTGGTGTGGCGAGGACTCGGAGCGACTGGAGATCACTAACAGGCTCAACTCTCCTCGTGAGACGTCTTCTTTTTGTTTTGTTTTAGCGAGAGTTTTATAGTATTTGCAACACAAATAGGTCATATAAGTGTCCGGAGATTAGAAGTGTTCCTAGAGGGTACCAGCATGCAAAGAAGGAGGAGAGATAAAGACGATAGACTTTTGACAGGAAAGAAAGAATAAACCACACCAGCGCATCCACCAACCACCCATAAGTCTTTGCCTGTGGTTGTGTTTTAATAGAAATGATGATGATGAATGATGACAATGATGATGATAATCATGATGAATGATGACGACGATGATGATCAAATTGTTGAGAAGGATGTGCAGGATTGACGTTGGAGTTAATTTATTTCACTAACAAATGACTACAGTTGAAATATTCTAAAGCAACCAAACACAATTGAGGAGAAAAGTGGCTGTCTTAGACAGGCTGATATGTTACGCAGTTTCACTATTATGTAAAAAAACAAACAAAACAAAACAAATAAACGAAAAATATACGCAAGTGAGGAAAAGGGAAGTGACTATTTGTACAGGTGGTTGTCTTAGACAGGTGACCGTTACAGCAGGTTTGTACAGGTGGTTGTCTTAGACAGGTGACCGTTTGTACAGGTGGTTGTCTTAGACAGGTGACCGTTTGTACAGGTGGTTGTCTTAGACAGGTGACCGTTTGTACAGGTGGTTGTCTTAGACAGGTGGCCGTTTGTACAGGTGGTTGTCTTAGACAGGTGACCGTTACAGCAGATTTGATGATACTTCCTGTTTTGTCTTTCGGTACTACCAGGCTACCTTAAGACATGGTGTGGTGAGGAATACGCAGAGATTCTGTACTTTCCTAGGGGCTTGACCTTGACCTACTACCCGGGAACCAAAGGTCAAGGGTCAGGATTTGAGCTAGAGATTGTTCCAAGTAAGTTGCTTTGTCTTCACCCAGGTTCACTGAAGCTTGTGTCTGTTTTTACATAAGTGTGTTATTAATGGTCACTTTCATCAAGATTTATGGAAATTTATGTCATTTTTGCATAAGTGTATGATAGTGGTTGCTTACAACCAGATTCATTGAAACGTCTGTCTGTATTTCATAAGTGTGTTATTAGACTTTGCATCACATATATCCCTGCTCGACTGCAAGCTATATATAGGCTTTACACCCTTCAGATCTTTATTTCCTTAATATGCTTCAAAGGAGAGACATGTTCGTTACATTTGGAACCAAGGAAGGTAGAATGGCCTGTCTTACTATTTATAATATATAGATGTGATAAGGATGTATATTTTATGATAAGGAAAGTTTTGAATTTTGAATTTTTGCCTGAGTGGCGACAATTTCCAATCATCAAAGGATCTTTAATGACATCTTACGGCACCACACTCCAGTGCTGCTGATTCCATACCGCCCTGCAAATGAGCCTGTTTGTGTTCATTGAACACTTACATACAATCTGAAGATGCATTGGAAACCAACCCCCCCCCCCTCCAAGATAAGTCACAATTTAATGATATATTTTTTTTTCTCCTGTTTCATTCATAAAAAAATTGAACTTTGTATTGTACTTCACAAATGGTCTCATGAATAACCCAAATAAGTCCTGTGCCGTGGAAAATAAAAAAAAATGCTGTTACCTCAAAGCAAATAATGGGCTTTCAAATGTTGAATTTCCATTTTCCTCACTTTCTTAATGACTTGTCCGCTCCCCCCCCCCGGAGTCTTCACTTGGTATAATAATATTATGTTTGTCTCTGTCTCTTTCAGATTTTATGGATCTTCATGTTTGCGAAAATGAGAACCATCTCAAAGCCGTGGATACGCCAAAGTTTCTGTACCGGTACACTAGAAGTAGAAGCGAAAGGTAAGACAGGTCGGTCCTGATATGTGAGGCATTGCGGCAAAATCAATCTCTCGTCAAAAGGACGAAATCTAGGAAAACAGCATTTTTCTACCAGTTTGGCAGTTTTTATCGAATTTTAGTCAGGATTTTTTTCTGTGTTTTCTTGTATTTTTTGGGGGGAGGCTCACATTCCTAAACCTGTGTAGATTTTCTTCATTAAAAACTCTATTGGTTAAAGGCACAAAAAATATAAAATTTGAGTTTCCAAGGACACTCGAGCAATGGAAGTCACCAGACTTTGGCGACAATTTTCTTGCTAATTTTCCCTCTGACGCCTGACGACCCTCACCTCCTTCAATGGTAAATGTCTCAACTTCTATTCCACATAGATGGCTATTTTTTTATGCCGTCAAAAGCAAGGCAAATGACAAGCTTTAAGACTATATCAACAACTTCATAAGCCCAAAAATGCCGAGCGCCTGATTTCACCGCGGCATCGTGCCACAATAATAATAGCATGGATAAGCTGTACTACAATGTAATGCCCTAAACACCAGAGAGCAAGGTTTTTTTTTTTCAGGTGAAGGAAAAACAACTGTTTCAATTCTTTTACAAATTATATTCATGTTGTGTATCTTTTCTTGTTTTTGTATTTTTTAACATTTAGGATTTGAATTCCGACCAAAGATTTATCGAGTCCATGCAACCGGCACCATACTACAGATTAAGAAACTGCAATTTAAAAAGTTTTCAGAATTTTGAGTTTCGTTCTTCTGTACAGTGGGCCAACCAGAAGGGACAGGTAAGCAAAGGACACCAATCCCCAGACTGATACTTCCTGCACAATTCTATTTCTGTCTGCCATAGACTTAAACTGTACTTTTAATATCTTAGACCGGGTACTGTCATGGCCCCCACTCTTTGCTCTCTACATAGACTTCAATAACAATATCCTAGACCAACCCCCCTCC